TTTTTTTTTTTTTGTTTTCACTGTGGGCATGCGAGCGACAGAATTATCAAACGACTGGCTTACCCTGTATGAAGTTACGAATGTTTTGAAGATGCCATAGAATTCTGTCGAATTCATGTTCTTTTCATCTTCGCCGTAATATTTGACAACCTCCGTATAGATGGCATCGGCATTGTTGACATCATCGACCAAGTCCTCAAGCTGTCTCGTAGCCTTCCCCACAAACGTCCACATCTGCTTCCCATACCTATCCGTCTGTTCCACTTCGGAAAAATGCTCGGTGAGCTCTTTGCGAATGATTTTCAGACCTTCTCGTAAGTCGGACAAGCTCTTGCGGACTTCTTGTAGGTTGACTATCATGAAAACAGAGATCAGTCTGTAACCTTCGCAGCGGACAACAATACCAGACCTCTGTAGGCCTCGGCTGGAGCGTGCAGCTCCTCTAGGAATTCTTCCATATCTGGAAAATGCTTTGTCACGGTACGTTCGAGGAAGTGTAGCAAGGTTGTGTTATGAATGGACTTGGTGTCGACTAGCTATACGATACGATGAGTCTAGGAATAAGACGACCGGCCGATTTTTAGGCTGACCTTGTTAATGCTACTGACTCGGAAGCCAAAAGCACCACCTTTGACACCAGTTCCATTCATGTAGTTGCCCACGAGTAAAATCAGCTGTGAACATGTCATCTCAACGCCAATGTATTGGAATGTTCCCCCACTCACACTAAGTAGTTCCTTAAAATGTTTGGCATGGAGCAAAGCATTTCCAGCTTCAGAAAGCTTCTTAGCACTCTGGAAATGGTCTAGTCAAGACGCGTCTAAGCCTGTGAAGCAGAACAAATCTTCACATCATCTAAAAGAGACCATGTCTCGTCGAAGACACATCGATACAACATGCCCTCGATTCGAGGTCCTAACCGATCTATCTTGATAAGCTGCACCATCAGACGGTCAGAAGGATGTAGGCCTGCCAATTCTTCCGCTTCGGCATTGCGGTAGACATTCAACTTGCCGATCTACACAAAGCAATCTTGTAAGATTCGTTTGAATTAGCCGACGGGACTTCGAAGACGCACCTGCTCAGGGTTGGGGAGGACAGGCTTCAACTCGCTCAAGACCAGTTGTGTGCAAACCTCCTGATCAAAATGGCGAATTCTCATAGCGAGCTCCTCGGGCTGCAACCTCTTGACGGTCTGAATTAAAATCTCTGGAATTAAGAACATGAAGGATTAAATATGAGCAAAATGCTGAACAGTGGTCTACACGTGCCTATACGTTTCTTGGTCTGAGGATCAAGCACACTCTTAAGCTCAGCGCGCTTCTGTTTTGCTGAAGCCACAGATCAGTTAATATAATGCTTTATCTACGGATGACCTACCCATCAGGTTGATCACAAGCTGCTTCGCCTTAAAGTCTTCTTCCATTTCCAGCCACACACCGTCGGACTGGAGCTTACGGACCCATTCCTCTTCTTTTATCGCCTCTTCCTCGCTAAAGACGGTCTTGACTGCTTGCTGCTGAGGGAGCTTATCCCACTGGAGCTGTTTCATCTTGGTGCTGGGCGTAATGGAGAGGTCCTTGCGTGCAGATAATAGGTGGCTAATGCCAACCCCGAGGAATGTTGATGACCGAGCAGAACCAGGGGCAGAACTAGCGTTTGAAGAAATCCCCGTCCTCGGGGTGGAGGCCGACAAAGGCGAGCCGGCACCGAGTAGTGCGGAGCTTATGATTGGAAGACGACCTGGGGGAGGCGGTGGCGGCGGCGGCGGTGGCGGTGGGGCTTGAGAATCTGAGGGACCAGAACGCTTACCAGCAGAGAAGGGAGGTGGTGGTGGCGGCGGGGGGGGGGGGGGGGGGGGGGGGGGGGGGGGGGGGGGGGGGG